CCAGCGCGATGAGATCCAGCGCGCTCTCGGTGCCTGCCACAGTAGTCTGACCGATGCCCTCGGCATGTTCAACGTGCGTCCATTGCGAAGCTCACCTGCGCGTCCGGATATCTTATACTTGGTTTATAGACCTCGATTCAGATACGTATTCTCAAGCAGGTAGTCGCTGCAGAGCGTCAGCGTCAAGCCGACGCCGCTGCGCTTCTCGACTCGATCAGCCACAACGTTCAAGGATCGCACTCGATCCCCATAGAGTCTTCGGCGTATGCACGCGCGATCTCACCCGCTCCGTCCAACCACCTCCTGCTCACAATAGAGCCTGATACCACTGAAGGTCACGATGACTCGTGGCACATCCTCGCACAGCTCCAGGCAGTCACCGCATGCCAGAATGAGCGCGACATGGTTTACGACACCGCCGACCTACGCCAGCTCATGCGCACCGCGCTGCAGGCGAACAACGACGGGGAGATGATTCTTGTCCTCCAGGTTGGCCGTGATGAAATGCCTGAAGCTATCAAGATGCTTCAGCGCGCTCTTGAGAAGAAAGTCGAACGCGAGAGTCTGGAGGAGGAGGCTGTTCTGGTGTCCGCGAACGTCGCGGCCGTCGAGGTCAGCGCGCCCCAGATCGCCCAATTGGACACTCCCGGCCTTACTTGGTCCGCGACGGTGCACAGCACGGAAAGCAGCGGCACGACGTCAGGCTCAGTCGCGAGCTCTGCCGGAAGGTCTTCCCGCGCGCCGCGCGACACACTTGACCGGGAGTTTATCGAGACTGGGATTGACGCGCTCCGGCGGCTGAGCGGAGCGGAGGTGACGCTGCTGAGCTGGACGATTACCAGGTACGAGGTCAAGCGGAATGAGAAGATCGGCATGGGCTTCTTCTCCGACGTGTACAAAGGCACGCGGAGGAACCATGTTGTGGCGATCAAGGTGCTCGCGCCGACGACGCCGAGGCAGCTCTTCGTGCATGAGGTGTGTACTTTTCCCAGTTCGTGCAGCAGTCTAGGTGGTGGTCGGAGGCGGCGGAGGTGTATTGGTGTTGCATTTTAGCCATGACCGCCGATTGCTATCTGCGTACGTACCGTGGAGCCGACGCGAGCATGCCTTGGGTTCAGATTTTCGACATTGAGTTTACCCGTCCTTGCATCTTGAGGGCAGCTCCCCTGCAAGATCTTTGTGCTTCAATGGGTCTAACGGATCGTCATTGGATGCGGCCGGTGTTTATCTAGGCAGCGGCTCCCTTTTCATTGTCTATTCATTCATATTCGAGCCCTTACTCTATTTGTCCGAATCTTGATTTTGCTTGTGGGTGATTGTGTGCTGACCTGTGTCCTGGTGAATCGCATCGCCGATTTGGTTTGTCTAGGTGTCGATCTGGAAGACGCTGCAGCACCCGAACGTTTGCGAACTTCTTGGCGCGTCCTCGGCATCCAGCGACCCTCCTTGGTTCTTTGTTAGCCCCTACTACAAGAATGGCAGTCTCGTGACCTACTTGAAAGGGCTACCGTCGTTGGACAATGTCGACTTACTCAAGATGGTTCACGAAATCGCAAAAGGAATGTCATACCTCCACAGTCAAGGCGTGTTGCACGGAGACCTCAAGGTACGTGATTTGGTAGCACTGAAGTCCGGAACACAGAGCACGAATCGGAGAGCTAAATGTTCATGTTCCCGGACAGGCCTCGAACGTGCTCGTCAACGACAAGCACCACTGCATCATCTCTGACTTTGGGCAGAGCGAGATGAAATCGGAGGCGTACCGTGTTAGCGGGCGGCCCCTTCCCCGTACGTGCCCTTTCGTCGTCTTACACCTCATGTACTTATGGAACTTGTCTTGAGTAGACGGCACTCTACGCTGGCAGGCTCCGGAGCCTATGTCAGCCCAAAGCGGGCTCACGCAGGAGATCGACGTGTACGCGTTCGCAATCACTGTCGTCGAGCTCCTTACCAAAGGAGCGCTCCCCTGACCCATGGCCGATGATGACGCCGTGAGGCACTTTGTCCTCCGTAAGTCACACTCCATCGTTACTTAGTGTGCAGATTGGTCACGACTTTGTAGGCGAGAACATGCGCCCAGAGCTGCCGCTGCAGCGCGTCTGGTCTCAGCAGCTTTCGGAGATTCTCCACTCATGCTGGCATTGTGACTCCACTATGCATCCGCCGTTCTTCAAGATTGACAAAGACGTCCAGCGGCTGAAGGAGTCACCCGCGTCGCGTCATTTGGGGCTCGAACAGATGAAGACGCGCAAGTCGCCGGATATACATCCCATACCGCTCTCTCTACTTCCTGGTGAGTTCTCTCTCGCGATAGATCTGATTAAAAGCTGACGTCCTCTAGATGAAGTCACTGCCTCTTTTGTCGAGGTGGGATCAGCCCCTTCGACGGACGTGTCGTTCATGACCGCCATGGAACTTGAATCTGTGACGGGGCACTCTCAGGACTACCACGATGACCATCGCGATCACAAGGGTCCGGACACAGACCTGAGCCGAACAAGCAGTCGCGCGTCCCTCCAAGACAGTCAATCGTCAGAGCACATAGAATTCCCGCGACACGTCTCTCCTCCCCCGGACGAGCGTGCTCAAAATATCCACGATGAGCGTTGGTACAGGATGCTCCTTCAACACGAATTTCACCCATCGCGTACGTATGCCTCATATTCCGATGCCATCTGCATGAGCTAACTATATAAGTCTAGTAACACTTCCGCTGTGGATGCCGTCGCAGGTGCTTATCGGGGCGGTCGGGTACCACAGCAAGGCGAATTACGGCGAATTCGTGACATTGTTTAGTTCGTTCGAGCCGGAAAAGTCGTCGAACGGTCGAGTGAAGAACATACCATCTTTGTATGGTTACGGGCGCGTGAGCCAAGGCAGCCAGCGTCAGGATAAGCGCAATGTTGCCCAGCGGGGCATGGACTTGATCCAGTCATGGCTGGGTCCAAGAAATTGTGCTGGAGAGGCGACCTATTCGTACGTTGATCGCGCGCTGCTGTCCATGCGATCAGTGCACTGACGACGTATAACCTCTAGCCGCCGGTACTCTTCCCCCTTGCGCTCTGGACATAAGGCCGCAAATCTTTTCACCGAGTCCATGGTGTATAGGTACATGGAGGACCCTGTTACATCCAAGAAGTGGTTCAAGGCTAGCACGGACAACGTCCTGGCGATCTACGAGGCGGAGCACCGCATAACAAAGGAAGACTTGTATCTCGGTACACCTATATCTTCTTCACGTTAGCACATCCGCTCTTTGACATGACTTGTTATGTAGTCATCGGCACGCTCAAGGCTCAGGACTATGCACTCTTCATCAGTCACGAGCATCCCAATGGTCAAGTCAACTTCCATGTCTTCTCAGCAACGCGCAATGGTTGCCCTTAGGGCGAGTTCTCATTCTCGTTCAACATATCGTCATCTTTCTTTGGCGGGCCCAAGTACGAGGAGGAACCAGTCGGAGCTCCACAATATGCGCGTAAGGTCTCAACGTCTGGCAATAGTGGTCGATGGGACAGCGTGCTTCTCGCCAGACTGCGATTCATGCCCAACTTACCTAAGACCACTTTGCTGTAGTCACTATGCATCACGCGCTGGCATTTGTGTAGTGTTAGTCCCACATTCATGTGACCATTGCTTTAGAGGGTGTCAATCTGCATGGACTGACAGACATCTAGGATACACGGACAATCTGCTTTATTACCCATTTCGAGGATAG